CGGCCTGGCCTGGGCCCGGGCATCAGCAGCGGCGCTCCCGGGAGGCACCCCATGACAGAGGCTGAGTAACGAGGGCTCACACTCCACAAACACACCAGTTTCTGGGAGTAGCGAAGTGTTTGCAGAGTAATCAGTGAGTTAGTCACAAGCGGAGCCACTGCCCTGCGCCTCCTCCCTTTCGGCTCTTCTGTCGCCAAGTGCTCATTGCTTTGAGTCATTTGTTGTTTATTTTTAGAAACCAAAACGTTAGTGCTCACACACTTGTAAGCGCCTGGTGATAATATTGTAATCGCTTCATTGAGTATAACTTACACGCCATACAGTCACTTGTTTGGAACAGGCAAGTCCTTGGTGTTTAGTGTGTTGACTGAGCTGTGTTTACGTTTGACCTGAGGGTCCAGTCCTTCCTCTGTTACCTTCCACTTCCTCTCATCTCTTCCTCCTGCTGCTCGGCTCTGCGCCTGCTGCTCGCAGTGGGCCCTGCTGAGCCCGTCCTCCAGCTCCCCGCCCCCCCCTCTTCTGAGGTCCCGCCGGTGCACTGGCTCTGATTGCACAGTCTCGCCCACCTCCCGCCAGGCTCCTAGTGTTCTCAACCGCGGCCAATCTTTTTCACTTTGTCTATTACCATTTTAATGTGAAAAAGCGCGTTTTACATGTTTAACTACCTGCCTGGGTTGCCCTGCCTCATCTCAGTTATTTTCCATTGTCCTTTCACCTTCTCAGGAGATTCAGTTCCGCTTCTGTGGCTGTTGGGTCCCTTCAGGTGGCTGGGCCGCCTGTGCCTGGCACGGCCTCAGCTTCCGCTGATGGAGCTGAGGAACCTAGTGAGTGTTGGAAGGCAAGGCAGTCCCCACCCTGCGAGCTGCAGTGAAGCCACCAGCACACGCTCCCTCCCTCCCAGGGCTCTGTCCCAGGGGAGCCCTCGCACTGTCCACTGTCCCACTGTCGCACTGTCGGGATCTGCAGCAACTCAACTTTCCCAAGCGGCTCCCTGTGCCCCGCAGCCCCGGAGGTCAGGTGGCTGCTCCCTGCGCCATGGACGGCACCTGTGCTGCCCTCCTGGAGGGGCCTCAAGGTTAGCCCGTAGCCAGAAAAGCCTTGCTGGTAAAATAGGGGCTTCCGGCAGCTTCGGAAGGGCGCGCTCGAGAGAAGCCGGCCACCCAGCCAAGCAGCCCAGGCCCAGAGCAAACATGAGGCCCTGCAAACTGCGATCGGAGGGGACACACCTGCCCACAGCACCTGCACCCCCAACCCCCATGCCTGGGTTCAGTCTGTGCCACCCATGACCTGTGCGCCCCAGGCCGCTCAGTGGGCCCCGGAAGCCTGGCCCCGGCCCTGCCTTCTCACTCTCCTGGCAGCCGGAGTGAGGAAGGAGGAGAGCATGGGGACAACGAGGCCTCTGGGCTCCACCGTGGAGCCTGTGAATGCGGGAGGGCCCAGCCTGGGCTCCCCTCAGAGCGGGAGACTCAGCATCGGCTGTGTGCTCCTTCGGGCGTGTTTACTTCTCACACACTGTGGGAACCCTGACCAGAGTGCGCCGGATGTTCAAGGCCAGTTTGCCATACGCAGGTGCCAAAGCAAGGATGCTGCACGCACCGCGCAGGCGTGCCTTTCTACAGCCCAGATACTGGGCCACTCCTGGGCAAGAGGCCTCTTTTGTCTCAGTTGGTATAGAGATGTGCTGTTGACCAGCCTGTGGGCAGCTGCTTGACGGGGCTCCCGTGTTTGTCCTGTATTAGCAGGGGCTGCTGTGTGTACAGGGGCTCCTGTGATTGTCCTGTATTAGGAGGGGCTGCTGTGTACAGGGGCTCCTGTGATTGTCCTGTATTAGGAGGGGCTGCTGTGTACAGGGGCTCCTGTGATTGTCCTGTATTAGGAGGGGCTGCTGTGTACAGGGGCTCCTGTGATTGTCCTGTATTAGGAGGGGCTGCTGTGTACAGGGGCTCCTGTGATTGTCCTGTATTAGGAGGGGCTGCTGTGTACAGGGGCTCCTGTGATTGTCCTGTATTAGGAGGGGCTGCTGTGTACAGGGGCTCCTGTGATTGTCCTGTATTAGGAGGGGCTGCTGTGTACAGGGGCTCCTGTGATTGTCCTGTATTAGGAGGGGCTGCTGTGTACAGGGGCTCCTGTGATTGTCCTGTATTAGGAGGGGCTGCTGTGTACAGGGGCTCCTGTGATTGTCCTGTATTAGGAGGGGCTGCTGTGTACAGGGGCTCCTGTGATTGTCCTGTATTAGGAGGGGCTGCTGTGTACAGGGGCTCCTGTGATTGTCCTGTATTAGGAGGGGCTGCTGTGTACAGGGGCTCCTGTGATTGTCCTGTATTAGGAGGGGCTGCTGTGTACAGGGGCTCCTGTGATTGTCCTGTATTAGGAGGGGCTGCTGTGTACAGGGGCTCCTGTGATTGTCCTGTATTAGGAGGGGCTGCTGTGTACAGGGGCTCCTGTGATTGTCCTGTATTAGGAGGGGCTGCTGTGTACAGGGGCTCCTGTGATTGTCCTGTATTAGGAGGGGCTGCTGTGTACAGGGGCTCCTGTGATTGTCCTGTATTAGGAGGGGCTGCTGTGTACAGGGGCTCCTGTGATTGTACTGTATTAGCAGGGGCTGCTGTGTTTGCTGTGGCTATTTCGTGGGGCTCCTTTGAAGAACTCTTTGTCTGATGGCTCCTTGTTAGCAATGGCTACTTGGTCTGCAATAAAGACTCTCCTACACCCCTATGACTTCGCATATCGTCTTCATCCACTGCCTAGCGTCCATGGGGATACAGCCCCTAGCAGAGGAGCTGTGCACCCCGTAGCTGGCGTAGTTGAGCAGGATCAAGGAGGAACTTGCTGCCACAATTGGCGCTGTGAGCAGGGTACAGGAGTAAGTGCTCCTACAATTGGCGTCAGGAACAGGATTCAAGGGTTAGTGCCCCGTCTGCCCCCCAAAGTCATGCTTCCTCCGACAGGCTGTGGCATCTGGTAGCTGTGGTCAGATGCCTTGGACCCCCGGGGAATTGGGAACAGGGCGAGGTGACGCTGGTGGTGGCAGAGAAGACTCTGCAGTCCCTGCTGCCGGACCGGACCCGGGGGAGCAGTGGAGAGCAGTGGGGCTTGGGAGAAACTGAGCTTCCGGGAGCCGAGCTCCACAGCCCGCCCAGCAAGCCAGGGGTCGCACAGCCCATGGGAGCCCGTGCGCTGCCTCTTGCACACCCCCTACTGGGGATCAAGTCTGCAACCCGGGCATGTGCCCTTGACCAGAATAGAACCTGGGACCTTTCAATCGACAGGCTGACACTCTATCCATTGAGCCAAACCTTGATCTCCTAGACCAGTGGTCGGCAAACTGCGGCCCGCGAGCCACATGCGGCTCTTTGGCCCATTGAGTGTGGCTCTTCCACAAAATACCACGTGCTGGCGAGCACGTACAGTGATTGAAACTTCGTGGCCCATGCACAGAAGTCGGTATTTTGTGGAAGAGCCACACTCAAGGGGCCAAAGAGCCGCATGTGGCTTGCGGGCCGCAGTTTGAAGACCACTGTCCTAGACTAAGGGAGGGGCAAGGCACCCAGTTGGCGGCCCTGGAGGCTGTATGTTGAACCCGCTGGTGCAGACTGCTGTTGGCCGGATAGATGTGCGGCCCCGTTGCTCATGTAGCTGGGTGCGGAGGCAGAGCTGTCTGTGTGCCGCAAGCAACTCTCTCCCGTGCAGGAGTGCATCTTGGGGAGATTGGACAGGCGGTGTTGCGGCTGGAGAAGGTGAGGATCGTCTATGGCACGTAGCCCCGCAATCTCCGGTGCCTGACAGCTACTGACCTGACTGACCGTGGATTGCAGAGAACGGAATGAAGTGCCTCCCCTGTCACCCTCTGCAGCGCAGGCTATAGCGGATCTCGTGGACCGCCCAATTCCGGCGCGAGGGCGGCACCACTGTGCAGTGGCCTGGGCCAGCCTCCCTGGGGCCAATGTTCCATGTGGTAATGATGTTGTGTTAACTCTGATTCTCTTGCAGAACTTGAACGCAGCTGCCAGGAGTTGTTACAGACCTATGTTGGCCTTTTAGGGTGTTGGCGAGTGTCCAGTTCCCACTTGGCGCCGTTGTGACGCCATTGTCAGTTGTCATGAAAGGGGGCGGCGTGGGGTTGAACCCCAGAACTAGAGGGCAGTCGCCCAAGTGGGCGGAGACAGGTACCCATCAGGTTTTGGTCCCAGTGATGAAGGAAACTGGGAGCTGATGCTCTCTTGTTGGGAGACAGTGGGCAGCCATGAGTGCTGCCTTACAGGCCTGTGTGACCTGCCCATGTCGGGAGCGGCACAAACCCCACCTTTAGCAAAGTGGGGGCCTATCTGGAACAGAGCGCCGCAGTGAGGACCAGCCCTCTGTCACAGGGATTGCAAGCCCTGCTGGGTCCTGTGACATCTGAGACCCTGTGCAGGGATGACACCCCGGTGGAGGAGGTGCTCCCTAGTCCGTTCCGAGAGGGTCCGCCCCCCACCCGGAGACCAGGTGGTACACGGCCCGGGCAGGTGGGGAAGAACCCAGCCACATGGACGGCTGTGACTGTCCATTTGGGTACTTTGGCCATTGGAACGCACAGCTGGGCTGCCCTTGTAGTTGCCACGATGGCACAAGCAACAGTGGCTAGTAGGCCAGGCCCCCTGTGGGGACCCGCGTAGCCTGAAAGATTCAACTGGAAGAGTCTGTACGAGGTTTCCTCAGACACTGCAGTGCAGGTCAAAGCAACAGACGAGCTGCTGCAACCCAAGGCCTCCCCCTTGGCAGAGGGGGGACAGGGAGTGTGGACCTGGCCATGGTCTGTTACTAGGGAAGGGCCCTGGGTAGCCCTCCTATCCCCCTGGGGAAGCAGGTACGACTATAAGTGACAGTCACGCCCCTTGGTCCAGCCCTGGGAGTGTAAGCAGTGCCCTGAAAGAGATAATGAAGTACAGGCCATACAGGCCCTCCCCCATGACCCCCCGAGGTTGGTGGGATGGACATGGATTAGGCATTCGTGAGTTTTACTATAGGGCTGAAGTACTGCTCCTAACATGCTACAGTTGGTATTGTTGTAGGCTCTGTATTCAAGGAGCTGGCAACTAGGCCAGGGTGCCCCTTAGAAGACCATCTGGAGTAAGGGGTGGAGTGTGGGACCCTAATCAGAGTACGCCAGCTGTTCATGGCAATTTGAGTGGGGGCACTGTCTAGAGTACACTGGTGGGCAGCTGCTTTACTGGACTCCTGTGTTTGTCCTGTATTAGCAGGGGCTGCTGTGTACAAGGGCTCCTGTGATTGTACTGTATTAGCAGGGGCTGCTGTGTACGGGACTCCTGTGATTGTCCTGTATTAGCGGGTGCTGCTGTATACAAGGACTCCTGTGATTGTCCTGTATTAGCAGGGGCTGCTGTGTGTACTGGGCTCCTGTGTGTGTCCTGTATTAGCAGGGGCTGCTGTGTACGGGACTCCTGTGATTGTCCTGTATTAGCGGGTGCTGCTGTGTACAATGGCTCCTGTGTTTGCGGCTACCTTGTGGGGCATGTATTAGCAGGGGCTGCTGTGTACAAGGGCTCCTGTGTTTGCGGCTGCCTTGTGGGGCACTTTTGAAGAACTGTTTTGTCTGATGGCTCCTTGTTAGCAATGGCTACTGGTCTGCGATAAAGACTCTCTTATAGCCTCACAGCGACTCCTCATGTCTCTATTGCCCGGTGTCCACGGGGCACAGCCCCTGGCAGAGAAGGACCTGTTCCCACAGCTGGCGCAGGAGCAGGATTCAGGAGTTAGTGCTCCCAACAATTTCTCACCCACTCACTCCCTCACTCCCTCACTCACAGGCTCTGAGCTCCTTCCGGTGTGTTTATTTCTTAGCTAAATGACCAAGGAAGAGTGGCTCCTCTCTCCAATGTCTGGTACAAGCAGCTGAGAGGGAGGAAGTGTCTTCCCCGAGGCTGTCACAGATCCCAACAGCGCTGGGAGGGGACTCCTGGGGATGAACGAAGACACTCGGGTCTCCCGCCCGCCAGGCCAGCTTCCTCCAGGAAGGTGTGGCCCTGGCCAGCGCTGCTCAGGGCCGTGGGTGCGGCCCTCTCATCTCCAGGACTGCAGAGGACCCCCGTCTCCTCCACCTCGGCCTGTAATGGGAGCCCTCCCTCCCTCCGGGGCCCGGGCCCACTTGGAGGTCATGGGGATGGTAGACAGCTGCGTCAAAGGCGTCTCTCAGGCACAGGGAGTTTCTCTAGAACAAGAAGGGAGAATAGTTTCAACGCTGTACCCCTCTCACAGGTCTTCACCACGGATGCCTTCCAGAGTCTCCTCCCCTTCAAACCTCGGGCCCTCCAGCCCTCTCCTTCTTCCAGCCCCTTTCTCTCCAGTCAATAGTTCCCTCTTACATGGTGGCTCCTTCTCTTAGTACGTCTTCCTCCCCTGCTCAGCCCCGGCCTGGCTCCCCTGCTCCTGAGACCACTTCCTCGTTCCTGCTGCTCCTCCCCAGGCACGTCCCTGCTCATTAGGCACTCACCACACAGAGGAAGAGCCCAGCGAAGAGCCCCACAGCCACTGCAGCCGAGCCCAGCGTGATGAGGAAGATTTCCCATGGCTTCAGGGACCCTTCGGGCCTCACGCTGCTCGTTGAGGTAGCAGCACTTAAGCTAAGCACATCGGAAGTTGTGTGCATCCCAGGTGGAGAAGGTGAAGGGGCTCTGCTGTTGCCACTGGAGGTAGCACTGGGTCCAGGGGTGGGGGTTCCACTGTTGCCACTGGGGGTAACACTGGATCCAGGGGTGGGGGTTCCGCTGCTGCCACTGGGGGTAGCCCTGGATCCAGGGGTGGGGGTTCCGCTGCTGCCACTGGGGGTAGCCCTGGATCCAGGGGTGGGGGTTCCGCTGCTGCCACTGGGGGTAGCCCTGGATCCAGGGGTGGGGGTTCCGCTGCTGCCACTGGGGGTAGCCCTGGATCCAGGGGTGGGGGTTCCGCTGCTGCCACTGGGGGTAGCCCTGGATCCAGGGGTGGGGGTTCCGCTGCTGCCACTGGGGGTAGCCCTGGATCCAGGGGTGGGGGTTCCGCTGCTGCCACTGGGGGTAGCCCTGGATCCAGGGGTGGGGGTTCCGCTGCTGCCACTGGGGGTAGCCCTGGATCCAGGGGTGGGGGTTCCACTGTTGCCACTGGGGGTAACACTGGGTCTACTGGTGGGGGTTCCGCTGCTGCCACTGGGGGTAGCAATGGATCCAGGGGTGGGGGTTCCGCTGCTGCCACTGGGGGTAGCACTGGATCCAGGGGTGGGGGTTCCGCTGCTGCCACTGGGGGTAGCCCTGGATCCAGGGGTGGGGGTTCCACTGTTGCCACGGGGGGTAACACTGGGTCTACGGGTGGGGGTTCCGCTGCTGCCACTGGGGGTAGCCCTGGATCCAGGGGTGGGGGTTCCACTGTTGCCACGGGGGGTAACACTGGGTCTACGGGTGGGGGTTCCGCTGCTGCCACTGGGGGTAGCACTGGATCCAGCGGTGGGGGTTCCGCTGTTGCCACTGGGGGTAACACTGGATCCAGCATTGGTAGTTATGCTATTATCACTGGAAGTTATATCTGATGATAATGATAAATGATGACACATTTGAGAGAATATATAATTTCTGCTCAACATTTGGTTTAAATTCGTTACATAGGTAATTCTATTTAATGCTCACACAAGCCCATGAAATATATTCTATTACTATTACCAGCTAAGATGAAGAAATGGAGGCTTAAAGATGTTGAACCTAGCCCAAGTTTATATAGCTGGTCAGTAGAACAGAATTTGAACCCAAGCTGTTGAGCCTGCAACTTTACTAGTAGCTGCCTTGCTCTGTCATCCTCCCCACCCAGCCCCAACACCAGGGTTAGCTGACCTAGTTTCACTGGCAATAAGCTTATTCCAAAATCTTCTATACAAGATCTAATACAGATTAAAATTATCATAAAGAAATTGTAGGACCAGGTGAAAATAGTATATTGATTCATTCAGTCTTAAAGTAGTGTTGCTCCCTCCTTGGAAAATATTTCTCAGAGTGTTATGCAGAAAACACCTACATTAGGGTCACCGGGAGAGCTTATCTATCTATATAAAAGGCTAATATGTTAAGTGTCCAACCGTATGGGTAATGACGTCATGTAGCAACGCCCAGCTTCCACTAGTGACTAGCCTCCTTGCAGTTTCTTCAGCCAAGGAACATGACTTGCTTTATAGCCAGGTGGAAACATTTCACACTTTAACCAAATGTCTGTGAAGCATTTTCCCGTGCCTCATCTCATTTGATTCTCACACAAGTCCTGGAGTAGGTGGATAGGAGACTTGGTGGAATCCTATTTTCTTTTCATTAACTGGAAAATGGAGATTTAGAAAGCTTAGAAACTTGACCCGACTGAAAAGAAGTAAGAAATGGTGGACTTTAAAAATTACTTCAGGTTTTCTCACTGTGCAGAATATAGTCAAACACTGCTGCAGTTAAATATTTACCCTTTGTTCTCCCTGCATGATCTACAATAATAATCTGCTTCATGTTGATATTTACTGCTGTGTTGCTGACAATTACCTGAAAGAGAAGTTAGGGTGCTTCACTGGGCTGGAAAAAGTTTAGCTACATCAGAAAGCAGGTATAATTAACCAAATTTATTCTATATCTATAAAAGGCTAAGCTGACTCACACATGTATGTGCAATACATATAAAGCTCTCACTGGCACCAACTGCACGTGTGTGTTTCCATCTGTCATTGTCAATCGTGAATTTGGTTGACACTTCTATTATAGAGAAAGGGCGAACAGTGATATTAAAATATTTCTTCTAATTAATTTCCTTTCAATGTGCATGAATCCGTGCACCAGGCCACTAGTAAAAAATAAAGATGTCTACACAAACCACTCCAGACTGAATGAATCAGAGTTTGAGGTGGGGCCAGCTATCTGTCTCTCCTAATGGGCGAGTGGTTCTATTGGCATTGGAGTGCCAAGGGCTCCTGACCACCTTGGCAGAGGCTGGAGAAGAACAGGTTATGTGTAGGTTAAATGTGCACGATCTGCCCAGATTAAGAGCCATAAATCAATTCCCACAAGTGTAGGGAGGCTCACCTGGAGTTTAGGTTGTGCCCACTGTTTGCCCTCATGACCCTGAAGGACAGACACGCGGCGTCTCCCTGAGTTTGCATCTATCTCATTGGGGCTTGTTTCACTGCTGCCTGGGACACGGGTGCTCCTCACCTCACTCTGCATGTGTGCATTTTCCCTCAGTTTTATTTCAAGTAACATAGGGTTAGAGTATAGCTCTATTTTGGGAAGATCCCCAAATTCTGCAATGGGATGGAAATTGGGGGTAAGATCAGAATCATGAGTAAAACTAAATAGGAAATGGAGACGACCACATGCAGAGGTGACATCTGAGAGAGAGTGGCTTTGACCTGAGAAGCTTTGGAGAAGAGGTGAGTCAAAATGATAAGAGGCCTAATTTTGATTCCAAATGATGAATTCTCTGGAAGTCCAGCTTTCTGGTTGTGCACTAAGAGCTCTGAGGTCTGAGTGCCAGGGCTATGGGACAGGGTGGGAGTCTGTTTTGACTCTTGACTTCTATTCTCCTTGGTCTGAGGCTGATTAGGATGATGCGAATCAGGTTAGGAACAGGAGAGAAATAAAATTTGTAGAATATAGATGAGTGATATTTTTTAAAGTAGATAATTCTTCCTGTCCTTACTATTTAACTCCCCCTGCCCCAGTCACATCACATAAGTCATTACCGTTTTATAGATGCAGAAACCTAGGCACAGAGAAGTTAAACAGCTCACCCAAAGCACTGAAACCAGTGTTAACACTGTGCTCTGCCGGCCCCCAGGTCATTCGTTGTTAGACTGGAGTGATTGGAGCAAAATGAAGGTGCTCACATGGAGGACCACCGCAGCCACCCTGGGAGTGGTCACCACTCTGCAGTCCCTCAAAGGTTCTCAGACCACCCGCTTTTAAGGAAATCACTCACCATGTCCTAAAAGCAGGAGATGTAATAGTAGCCAATACTTCAAGGGAGTGCTTCCTGTCTGCATCTCGATCTGCCTCTTGGTGTCCAGAAAGCAAGATGCGTGGATCCCAGATGCGGCCAAGCCCTAGAAGGCAAAGAGCAGTATTCTCGAGAAAGGAGAGTTCCGGGTGAAGAGGTAAAGGCTGACGCTTCCAGGAGCTGGGGTCTCCTAAGTATGTGTTCTTGGAAGAGCCGTGAGCTAGGAGGTGGGGTGAGAGACTGGATGCCTGGGTTCCTTAAGCTTTCTCCATGCGATGCTGTTGCCTCTTTATCGTGGAAGAGCTGCAGGGGCCTTTATAGCTTCAGATGGGTGGGGGAGGAGTCGAGAAGTTGACTTGTTCTTCTGTCAGCTTTGAGCAGCTAACAAAACAATACTGAGCCTGGGAAGGCATAGACTAGAGGTCAAGAGGAAGGTGAGAAAGGAGAAAGACATGATCACACTAGACAGGGCATTGGGCTGGGTTGCAGCAGGAAGCAGAATGGGACAAGGTAATCAAGATTGTCAGAGTGGAAGGGACCCACCCTCTGAGGCAGGGATGGGGCCAGAAACCTGTTCTACTTCTTTCTCCCGGTCAGGGAGTCCTGTGGGCCTGCTCTTTTAGCAGGGAAGATGCCCTAATGGACTGAGCTAAGGGGGCAAACAGAAATAGGAGACTCTAAGGAGAGCAGTAATGAGAGATCTGGGCCCTGGGTTATGGGCAGAAGGCAGATGTACGACAGAAGGCTGGTGAGCAGTAGGCCTTCAACAATTAATGAGTGAACAGGGGAAGTGGGGTCCAGGGCTCAATGAAGCCATCTCGGCGGTGTCCCGGGCATGGGGGCTGCGGGCGTGGGGAGAGTGTTGAATGTGCAAGAACAAGCCACCCGTCAGACTGAGGGGGCGTATGACCTCAAGCACGGGACTTCCCATCTTGCCTATTTTCAGAGGAATCCGTAGGAGCTTTTCCACTCTGGGATCCATGGATGTTCCTTCTCCGAAGCGTCGGTGAGGCATCTCCCAGCAGGTGCACCTCAGGCCACATTAGGAGACTCAAGTCTGTTAGTCCTAGTCCGCCGGGAGCTTCGCATTGGGTCTGGACACAGAAGACCGCAGCAGCAGAAAGCACACACGGTCCACTAAGTGAGCATGACTGGTCACACCCAAATGCGTGGGAGGTTTGGGGAGCTCATGGGGAAGACATCCTGTGGCCAGGGCAGGAGGTGTGGGACCAATGGGAGTTCCACACGGAGTGAGTGTGGTCGTTTATTTGAATGAGCATCCCCAACGTGAGACCTGTTAGAAAGGAGTTGGCAAGCGGGAGGCGCTGGAGACACCCGGGACTTTGGAATGAGTGAGTCGGAGTCCGGAAGAGATGGGCGCACTGGGAAAGGCTCAGACGCAGATGTCCTGGCGGCCGTGATGGGCAGTTCCTGAGGCAGAGGGCAAGGGGCCGTCAGTGATGGGTTGGATCCTGGGTTCACAGCAATCCTATTCTGTGGCTAAAAAATACCAGCAGTGTGAGAAAGAAACCTTCTTTCCCTCTAGAATCGCACGGGTCCTGAATTGCAGCCCAGATGGCACCTGTGAGAGGTCATCCTAAAAAGAACTTCACATGCGTACTTACTATAGTCTAAGTGTAGCTCATGTTTTACTCTTCCTCAAAACAATACAAGGACCTCGGCACATTTTAATTCTTATTACCATTTCCCAACTCATACCCTAATGTTATCAAGTATTTTAATTTTATTTTGTTTTATAACTTCATGAGAGGTTATTGTTGTCTGCTTATGCACCATAAGCCAGAATATGGTCACATCATTACAGACAGCTTCAAAGATACGGAAATACACTGTCTAGGTGGGTGGACACACACTCAACTAAAACTTGAGGATTCTGTTGTTGAAGATGGAGAGCGGATATCTGTGGTCAGCTCTACAGCTGTGACACACGTAAGCCCGTGGCTTTGTGCTCTGGGTGTACTAATCCCAGTGCCCGTCCGTGCAGCTGGCTTCCTGCTGGCTGTCACTCCTGGCGTCTGTTTTCATTAGTGATTGAGAGCTATGACTACGAATTTACTTTTCTTGTGATGTTATCTGTAGAAGTTCCGTGAGGCCTGAGGTAAAGATCTGATCTTCCACAAAGAATTTGCATTCGTGGGCCAGGCATATGGAGGCATTACCACTCGAGAATTCTTTTGAATTAAATGATAGGCTTGAGATCTTTTGAATTACCCGTGATTTGGGGCTGCAAACCATGTGAAGTATTGTGGTTACAGCTATTTCTTGACATATGTCCCTTTCTTCTCCCTTCCCTGCACCACGTTTAGAGACAAGCGATCTTACTTGCGTTTCCCGGGGGTGGAGGGGGGGGGGGCAGGCTGCAGTCTGCACTCTCCCTGCGGGGTAGAGATTGCTGTGAGGGTCCTGCCTGCAGTCTGCACCTCCCTGCGGGGTAGAGATTGCTGTGAGGGTCCTGCCTGCAGTCTGCACTCGCCCTGCGGGGTAGAGATTGCTGTGAGGGTCCTGCCGCGGCTGGTGCTGCTGAAGGTTCAGTGCACCTGGTTTGGCCAAAGTTGGCTTCAGTACACCCCTTACACCTTGGCTTCCTATCTTAACTTAGTCTTTGCTTTTAGCGTTCCTTACTTCCCTGCCAACTCGCTGGCTCATTTAAGAAGACTTTAAGTCAGGGGTGGGCAAACTTTTTGACTCGAGGGCCACAATGGGTTCTTAAACTGGACCGGAGGGCCGGAACAAAAGCATGGATGGAGTGTTTGTGTGAACTAATATAAATTCAAAGTAAACATCATTACATAAAAGGGTACGGTCTTTTTTTTTTTAGTTTTATTCATTTCAAACGGGCCAGATCTGGCCCGCCGGCCGTAGTTTGCCCACGGCTGCTTTAAGTCCACCATGTTAAGCTTTTCAGGGTATTTTAAGTCAAGGCTCCTAGCTCATTATGGAGCCGGAAACTTAAGTTCCCATTGGATTGTTTCGAGAAAGAAATGATGGTGTGTTTAAAGGTACCAGCATGGTGTTTGCACATCATAAGCATGTGATAATAAAGGACAAAAGCAAAGGAGACAAACATGACTATAAGATTCCACGTGGGAGGAATCTGGGAGAAACAGAGTAAGGAGAAGAATCTCCCCAAAAGGGAGGAGGACTGCAGGCACCGAGGGGTCGCAGATGCTTTGCTGTCCGCCTGGTGTGTGTGATTGAAGCTACAGCCTCTACCGAGGGCAGCCAGGCTTTCCGGGGGACCATTTCACATGAATGCAAATAGCAAATCATTATGTTGTACACCTACCTAACTAACGTAATGTTAGAGGTCAAGTGTACCTCAATTTCAAAAAAAAGGAATGTGCCCTAGCCAGTTTGGCTCAGTGGATAGAGTGTCGGCTTGAGGACCAAAGGGGCCCCGGGTCGATTCCAGTCAAGGGCATGTACCTTGGTTATAGGCTCCTCCCCCGCCCGGACCCTGGTTGGAGCTCATGCAGGAGGCAACCAATCGATGTGTTTCTCTCATATCGATGTTTCTCTCTGTCTTTCTCTCTCTCTTCCACCCTCCCTATAAATTAATGGAAAAATAACCTCAGGTGAGGATTAACAACAACAACAAAAAAAAAAACACTTAAAAAAAAAAGAAATGCCCTAATCAGTTGCTCAATGGTTAGAGCATTGGCCCACGCATAGATGGGTCCCAGGTTTGATTCCAATCAAGGGCACGTACCTCGGTTGCCGGCATGATCCCCGGCCCTGCTCGGGGCTGTGCAGGAGACAACCAATTGATGTGTCTCTCTCACACCGATGTTTCTCTCTGTCTCTCTCTCTCCCTTCCACTCTCTCTAAAAATCAATGCAAAAATATCCTTGAGTGAAGATAAACACCCACCAAAAACGGGGAAGAATGGACAGTAGACCCGTGAAGATCAGGTTGCCAACAGCGCTTGCAGAATTCCTGCTGTGTACCTTTTACCAATCAAGCCCATGGTCAAGACTCAAGCCTGATATAATTAGAGGTGACTTCCCACTGCTTTTTTCTTTGTTTGTTTTGTTGTTTGCACACAAGGTCTTTGGGTGATTACATCACACCACCATCCCTCCCCCGCCTTCCCTCTGAGACTCCGCACTCTGTTCCAGGCTTCCATGCCTCTGGATCCACTCTGTTCATCAGTTTATTTTGTTCCTTAGATTCCACATATGGGTGTGATCGTGATACTTGTCTTTCTCCGACTGACTTCTTTCACTTAGCACGATAGTCTCCAGGTCCCTCCATGCTGTCTCAAAGGGTAAGAGAGTCTTCTTTTTTACGGCTGCATAGTATTCCATGGTGTAGATGTACCACAGTTTTCTAATCCACTCATCAACTGATGGGCACTTGGGCTGTTTCCAGATCTTAGCTATTGTAAATTGTGCTGCTATGAACATAGGGGAGCATACATTCTTTCTGGTTGGTGTTTCGGGTTTCTTAGGATATATTCATAGAAGTGGGATCACTGGGTTAAATGACTATTTTTAATTTTTAAAAAAATATAAATTTTATTGATTTTTTACAGAGAGGAAGGGAGAGGAATAGAGAGTTAGAAACATTGATGAGAGAGAAACATCAATCAGCTGCCTCCTGCACACCCCCTACTGGGGATGTGTCCAGAACCAAGGTACATGCCCTTGACCATAATTGAACCTGGGATCCTTCAGTCTGCAGGACGATGCTCCATCCACTGAGCCAAACTGGTTAGGGCCATTTTTAATTTTTTGAGGAAACTCCATACTGTTTTCCATAATGGTATGGTAATATATTGCTGGATCCAATTTGCTAATATTTTCTCAGCAGTTGTCATTTGTTGATTTGTTAATAGTAGCCATTCTGACAGGTGTGAGGTGATACCTCATTGTCATTTTAATTTGTATCTCTCTGATAATAAGTTACTTTGAGCATTTTTTCATATGTCTCTTGGCCATCTGTATGTCCACTTTGGGGAAGTGTCTATTTAGGTCTTTGCCCATTTTTTAATTAGATTGTTTGTCTTCCTTTTGTTAAGATGTATGCGTTCCTTATATTTTTTGGATATTAACCCTTTATCAGATGTATCATTGCCAAATATAT